CTCTACTGAAATACAAAAAACCGGGCATGGTGGCGCATGCCTGTAGTCCCAGCTACTCAGGAGGGTGAGGCAGGGGAATTGCTTGAACCCAGGAGGCAGAGGTTGCAGTGAGCCGAGATCTTGCCACTGTACTCCAGCCTCAGAGACAGAGTGAAACTCCATCTCAAAAAATAATAATAAGTATATATATGTATACTGTTTAGTCATATTATGTTGACATTGTTATGCATCATATCACTAGAATATTTTTATCTTGCAGAGCTAAATCTCAATATACATTAAACAACTACCAATTCTTCCCATTTGATAGCACTTTTAAAGCACCACTTTTTCCGGTTTCTAAGAGTGTAACTGCTTTATACATCTCATACAATCTGTCTTTTTGTGGCTGGCTCATTTTACTTTGCATAATGTCATCAATATTTCTCATAATAGTTGTTAGAGTATTTTCTGCTTTTTGAAAATTGAGTGATATGCCAGTATTTTTATATCTACTGATTTGGTGACAGAAATTTGCATTGCTTTTATCTGTTGGCTTTCAGTAGCAGTGCTGCTATAATTATGTGAACAATGATATATGTGCTGCATTCTGTTTTGTTAGTCTACTTTTTCACTTTTATACTCATACCAAATTGTTTTAATTCTGTAGCTTTTTGATGTGTTTTGAAATCAGAAATTGTAATGCCTCCAACTTTTTTTTTTTTTTTTTTTTGACGATTGTTGGGTACTTTATTGCCTCTTTAGACTCCATGTTCTTTTGGATTTGCTGTTTTTATTTCTTCAAAAATGCAATGAGAAATTTGAAAAAATTGCATTAAATCTGTAGATTAAATTGAGCGGTATAGACATCCTCACAATATTATTTCCTTTTTGATTGTTTTTGAAATGGAGTTAAATTAACCCGCCTCAGCCTCCTAAAGGACTGAGCCCCACGGCATCCAGCCCAGTTATTTGAACAAGTGCATGCTCAAGAGTGTGTTGAATCATTTCTATACATTCGTAAATTTATCAATTATTTATATTATTGTCTTATACTCTAATTCATTTTTGTCATAGAAAGTAACTATGAAATTTCAGTTTTAAAAATGTGTTAAGACTTTGTTTTTGACCTAACAGGTGGTCTATAAAAAGGAATGTTGTATGAGCTATTGAGAAGGCTGTGTATCCTGATATTGTTGAGGAGTATTCTCTATACCTTCAATAGAAATAATTGTTTTTTACTGCCTTCTAGTCGTCTGTTCCCTTACTAATATACTGTCTTGTTTTATTATTATTACAGAAAGTGGGGTATTGAAATATCCTACTATAATTCTATTGCTCTCTCTCTCTGTTTATTCAGCTTTGTTAGTATTTGCTTCATATATTTGAAACCCCAGTTTGAAACACACACACAAAAAAATACACACATGGATAAACAAATTTGTCTCAGCCCAGCGCGGTAGCTCACGCCTGTAATCCCAGCACTTTGGGAGGCCGAGGCAGGCAGATCACAAGGTCAGGAGATCAAGACCATCCTGACTAACACGGTGAAACTCCATCTCTACTAAAAAATACAAAAAATTAGCTGGGCGTGGTGGCAGGTGCCTGTAGTCCCAGCTACTTGGGAGGCTGAGGCAGGAGAACAGCATGAACCCAGGAGGCGGAGTTTGCAGTGAGCCAAGATCGCGCCACTGCACTCCAGCCTGGGTGACAGAGTGAGACTCCATCTCAAAAAAAAAAAAAAGTCTGTCATAGGTTCCCAGTGAATTAATCTATATATTGTTTAATGTCCTTATCTTTTGAAGTTTTGACTTAAAGTACATTTTATAAAATATGACAGTTTTTGACTTAACATGTAGCTTTTGTAATATTATTTTGACCTCTTCTGCTCTCATTTTGTTAATATTTACATGAAATTTCTACTTCTCTCTTGCCACTTTCAGTCTTTTCTTGTCATTAGATCTCAAGTGACTCTTGTAAAAAGGCAAGTTGAATCTTGATTTTTAAAGTTTTTTAATGAACCTCTTTATTAAAAGTATGTCTCTCGATTGGAAAGATAATTATATATATTTAAATAGTTTTCTGAAAGAGAAAAACTTACTGTTAATAAAATAATTGTTTTGATTCTTGTATCTTTGTGTCTCATTTTCTTTTTTAAACTTTTTTGATTTTTGTATTGACATGCTTTGAGTTTTTTTCTTGCTTTCTTTTGTGTATCTATATAGATGTTTTCTTAGTACCTTGGGGGATTACCTAAAACCTCTAAAAGATCCAACAATATATTTTAATGTGGTAAAAAATTAACTCCGGTTGCATACAAAAATTCCTCATTATTACATCTGCCTTCAACTTTGTTATTGATTTTACTGATTATATCTTTATGTTGTCTATTCATTAACAGATATTAATAATTTCTATACTTTTATCTTTTAAATTTTAGAGAATTAAAAATGTTTTCTGTACCATTATGATGTTAAGAAATTCCATTTTTATGTATGTGCATATCTTTTCCAGAAATTTACATATTTTCATATGATTATGTGTTGTTTTCTTGCATTATGTTATTTTCTGTGGGAAAAAACTCCTTTCAGCATCCTTGATATATAGGGCATATGCAGTGCCAATATACTTTCTCAGCATTTGGTTATTTTGGAAGGACTTCTTTTTATTTGGTGGTACAATTTTGCTGATGGTACTATTCCCACTTAACAGCTTTTTTTTTTATTATTATAACTTTAATAACAATATCACAGTTTCCTTTTGACCTGCAAACATTTTTTTGATAAATTTATTGATTATCTCATAAGACTGTGCTTATAAATGGCCATCATTTTTATCTTGCAGCTCCCAAAATTCTTTTCTGATCTGTGATTTTTGAAATTTTGTTTACATATGTGTTTGTTATAAATATGTGTTTGGGTGTATCCTAGTTTGTTCACCTTTTCAGCTTTTTCTTTTTTTTTTTTTTTGAGACGGAGTCTCGCTCTGTCACCCAGGCTGGAGTGCAGTGGCCGGATCTCTGCTCACTGCAAGCTCCGCCTCCCGGGTTTACGCCATTCTCCTGGCTCAGCCTCCCGAGTAGCTGGGACTACAGGCGCTCGCCACCTCGCCCGGCTAGTTTTTTGTACTTTTTTTAGTAGAGACGGGGTGTTAGCCAGGATGGTCTCGATCTCCTGACCTTGTGATCCGCCCGTCTCGGCCTCCCAAAGTGCTAGGATTACAGGCTTGAGCCACCGCGCCCGGCCGAGCTTTTTCATATTTACACCATTTTTTCTTTTAAGAAATTTTTCACTTAGTTTTTGTATTTTTTACTTCCACAATTTTTGTTTTCTATTTTAATATTTTTTGGTGTTATCCTCATTTTTCTGATCTTCAGTAATTGTCTGTGTTCCTATTTCACTTCGTGAATATTGTTCAATTTATTTTATTTCATTTATTTTATTTTTCCTGAGACAGAGTCTCGCCCAGGAGTGCAGAGCTGTGATCTCAGCTCACTGCAACCTCTGCCTCCCAGGCTCAAGCGATTCTCCTGCCTCAGCCGCCTGAGTAGCTGGGATTACACACGCCTGCCAGCACGCCTAGCTAATTTTTTATATTTTTAGTAGAGACAGGGTTTCACCACATTGGCCAGGCTAATCTTGAACTCCTGACCTCAAATGATCTGCGTACCTCTGCCTCTCAAAGTGCTGGGATTACAGGTGTGAGCCACTGTGCCTGGCCTTTTTTATTTTATTTTTGAGACAGTCTTTCTATGTTGCCCAGGCTGGCAGTGGCACAGTCTCTGCTCACTGCTTCCCTTCCTGGGTTCAAACAATTCTCGTTTGTCAGCCTCCCAAGTAACTGGGATTACAGGCAAATGCCAAGACCACCAATCCTGGCCTGTTCAATTTATTTGGAATTTTAAAAATTATACACTTTTTATTGTTGTGTTTGAAAATTTTATAATTTTTTTGATGGGGCCATGTCGCCCTAATATTTTGTATACATTGTAATCTTTGAGATTTGGACATTAACAAAAAGCTACCTGTTACGATCTTTATAATGTAACTCTGTCCTGGCATAGTCTGAAATCAGCTGTCTTGGCTGAGATTCTGGGAATTTCTCAAACATGTTTTTAAGATGTGTCTTGTCTAAAATTTTGTGTTGTTAAATCGGCTTATTCTTATTTCTTCTTAATAATCAGTAATCACTTGCTTCACCCATTCCGTGTTTGGGATACAGCAGTTTCTTTGCTTCTGTAACATTTACCTTTAGACTCAAAGTGTCATTCCAATGTATATTACCATTTCATGTCGTGGGAGACATTAACCAGTATCTAAAAAAGCCCCTAGAAGCCAGAAATAAAGATGTATGTGCCAATATTTTTCTTGTTTTTTAAAAAAGGAACCAGGAGTTGGCAATTTACATTTTTGTGTGCATGTGTGAGACAGAGTCTTACTCTGTTACCTAGGCTAGAGTACAATGTCATGATCTTGGCTCACTACAATCTCTGCCTCCAGTTCAAGCAATTCTCCTCCCTCAGCCTCCAAAGAAACTGGATTACAGGTACCTGTTACCATGCCTGGCTAATTTTTTGTATTTTTGTAGAGATGGGGTTTCACCATCTTGGCCAGGTTAGTCTTGAACTGTTGACCTCATGATCCACCTGCCTCGGGCCTCCCAAAGTGCTGGCATCACATATGTGAGCTACTGTGCCCAGCCCACAATTTACTTTTAAAGGCACAATGTTATACTGGAGAGCAGGAAGAGCTGTGTTGGGTATAAGTAATAGACTTTTCCTTTTCTTCCATGTGGCTCTTTGCATTGTGGGGTCCTTCACACACTTAACTCATTTATAAATTTTTTACAAATGTATTTTGGTCAGTATGTTTTTGTTACACTTATATGTCTAGGAAGAAATTACAGCTTGTGGTATTTTGCTATGTCATCTTGCTTATGTAGTTTGTATAATTTTATAGATTAGGTTTGTATTTTTCTGAGTCTAGCAATTGAAGTAATGTGTTTTTATTTTTTTCTTTCAGTTATATGTTCTCATTTTGCCCAAGACGTTTGGTCAGAGCAGAGCATAAAAGATTCTTTCCAAAAAGTGATACTAAGAAGGTATGAAAAATGTGGACATGACAATTTGCAGTTAAAAAAAGGCTGTGAAAGTGTAGATGAGTGTCCAGTACACAAAAGAGGTTATAATGGACTTAAACAATGTTTGACAACTACCCAGAGAAAAATATTTCATTGTGATGAATATGTGAAATTCTTGCCTAAATTTTCAAATTCAAACAGACATAAGATAAGGATAAGAGATACTGGAAAAAAACCTTTTAAATGTATAGAATATGGGAAAGCTTTTAACCAGTCTTCAACCCGTACTACATATAAGAAAATTGATACTGGAGAGAAACGCTACAAATGTGAAGAATGTGGTAAAGCCTATAAGCAGTCCTCGCACCTTACTACACATAAGAAAATTCATACTGGAGAGAAACCCTACAAATGTGAAGAATGTGGCAAAGCCTATAAGCAGTCCTGTAACCTTACTACACATAAGATAATTCATACTGGAGAGAAACCCTACAGATGTAGAGAATGTGGCAAATCTTTTAACCACCCCGCAACCCTTTTTTCACATAAGAAAATTCATACTGGAGAGAAACCATACAAGTGTGATAAATGTGGCAAAGCCTTTATTTCATCCTCAACCCTTACTAAACATGAGATAATTCATACTGGGGAGAAACCCTACAAATGTGAGGAATGTGGCAAAGCTTTTAACCGTTCCTCAAACCTTACTAAACATAAGAGAATTCATACTGGAGATGTACCCTACAAATGTGATGAATGTGGCAAAACCTTTACTTGGTACTCAAGCCTCTCTAAACATAAGAGAGCTCATACTGGAGAGAAACCCTACAAGTGTGAAGAATGTGGCAAAGCCTTTACTGCATTCTCAACTCTAACTGAACATAAGATAATTCATACTGGAGAGAAACCTTACAAATGTGAAGAATGTGGCAAAGCTTTTAACTGGTCCTCAGCCCTTAATAAACATAAGAAAATTCATATTAGACAGAAACCCTACATAGCAAAGAATGTGGAAAATCTTTTAAATGTTCCTCAACCCTTAATAAGCATAAGATAATTCATACTGGAGAGAAACCTGATGAATGTGGGAAAGCCTTTAACCAGCCCTCAACTCTATGAGAATTTATATGGAACATAAACCTTACAAATACAAAGAATGTGACAAAGCTTTTTATTACACATAATTTATAGTGGACAGAAACCCTACAAGTTTGAGTTTCGCTCTTGTCACCCAGGCTGGAGTGCAATGACATGATCTCGGCTCATGGCAACTTCTGCCTCCTGGGTTCAAGCCATTCTCCTGCCTCAGCCTGCCGAGTAGCTGGGATTACAGGTGCCCAGCACCACGCCCAGCTCATGTTTGTATTTTTAGTAGAGATGGGGTTTTGCCGTGTTTGCCAGACTGGTATCGAACTCCTGACCTCAGGTGGTCCACCCACCTCGGCCTCCTAAAGTGCTGGGATTACAGGCATGAGCCACCATGCCAGGCCACAAGTTCTCAATTCTTAAGAGACATGGCGATAATTCATGCTGAAGAGGAACTCTACAAACCTGAAAGATGCGACAGTGCTTACCACCTCCAACTTTTGTATACAGAAAAATAAATTAGTGTGAAACCTTAGAAATGTATGAAATGTGAGAATTAATGCTACCAAAACTCCTAGAAGTGTGAAGAATATGGCAAAACTTTTAATGAGTGTTGACACTTTATTTCACAGGAAAGCTTTTACCCTTGAGAAAAATTGTACAGATATAAAGAATATTGAAAAGCCATTAATGCCTACTCACATCTTATTCAAGAGAAGAAGGTTCACAGTTAATAAAGGCATTAAAAGTGCAATTACTGTCAAAAAATCTTTCAGGCCGGGCGCGGTGGCTCAAAGCACTTTGGGAGGCCGAGACGGGCGGATCACAAGGTCAGGAGATTGAGACCATCCTGGCTAACATGGTGAAACCCCGTCTCTACTAAAAAAATACAAAAAACTAGCCGGGTGAGGTGGCGGGCGCCTGTAGTCCCAGCTACTCGGGAGGCTGAGGCAGGAGAATGGCGTGAACCCGGGAGGTGGAGCTTGCAGTGAGCTGAGATCCGGCCACTGCACTCCAGCTTGGGTAACAGAGTGAGACTCCGTCTCAAAAAAAAAAAAAAAAAAATCTTTCAGAAAATATAAGCCTTTAAAGAAGAATATTCTGAAATCATCCATTACAAATATAAAGGGGGTTGTAGTACCTTTACTTGTATCACAGCTCTTATTGCACACATTTGTACTAGAGGAAAACCCTGAAGCAGTTGCTCCAGTTTTGTTCAACATCATGGAATTTATATTGAAGAGTCCTGCAAATATAATGAATTTGTAAAGACTTTTTTTTCAAAATCTATAGCTTAGAAAACACCACAGAGTTTATACTAAAATATTTTTGCAGATGCAGTAAATATGAAAAAATATTTAATTCAAAATTGATTCTATGTAAATATCAAATAATTTACACTAGAATAACTAAGGCACTGACACTTCAGACATTACACTAAATCAGTGTTGAATATAAAAACGAATCCACAACTAAAACTGTTTTTGTATATAATTCTAAAAGGAGATTTTCTGAAGCATTGTAATTACATTGAAAGTATACTTGTTTCCTCAAAAAAAAAATTTGAAAAGTGAATGATGATGTAATACAGCTTTCAAATTTCTTTATGCTGTTATTTTATTCCTATTGTATTCACATGTGAAAACGTGATTATTGCTGCATTAGAGATACTACAGATTCTTTTTTTATTGGGTATTATGACTTTTTCTATAGAAGAGTAAGGACATTAAAATGTAAGGTGCCTGATGAAAATGTCAGTGGAGAGGCTCTTTGTAGTTAACTTATATTAAGTAATGTATAAGGTGGGGGTTCCTATTTGTATACTCCTAGCCTATGACTTAATGTTGACGCTTTGCTTTGTCTTTGGGATGGCCTAACCTACATTAACATGTTGGCAGACCATTTTAAAACTTTTTTTCAAAAATTATAATGAATCACTTTATTAATAAAGATAATAAGGTGGGGGTTCAGAGTAATAGTTTTCTACATTATAGTGAGAAAAATTATAGTTAAAAGTATTAAATGAGAATATTATTGTACTTTTATGTAATAGAATGCAGTACATATAAAAATTGTTAAATTATATGTGAACTTTATTTTTTTTTTGCCTTGTTAAGACTATTGTGTGTTTAATGAAGCAATATTATGCCACTAACTTTAACCTATCCCACCTTAATCAAGGGTGTACTTAAAAGATGGTAACAATATACTATTTGGTGCATAGTGGAATAACATCTCTAGTCATCACTTTGCCAGTGGCTTTCAACTGCAAAATGAGTTGAAGAATATTGTTCCCATAGTTTAAATTTTTATTTTTTCTTATTGAAATTTATTATTAGTATTTGTGGGTATATAGTATGTGTATATATTTATGCCTTATATGGCATATTTTGATTCAGGCATACAATATGTAGTAATTACATTAGGGTAAATAAGGTATCCATCACCTCTAGCATTTATCGTTTGAATTACAGTGTAATTATACATTTTTAATTATTTTTAAATGTACAAATTGTTATTGACTACAGGTTTATTTTTATGGTCATAATAAAAATTATACAGAAAAATAAAATACAGCCAGGTGCAGTGGCTCACGCCTGTAATCCCAGCACTTTGGGAGGCCAAGGCAGGTGGATTGCCTGAGGTCAGGAGTTCAAGACCAGCCTGGCCAACATGGTGAAACCCCGTCTTGAGGCAGCGCCTTCATATTCCACTCTGCCAGTCCAGCTGAGGATCCGAGCTGCTTACAGGCTCCAAGGTGAGTTCTGTAAACAGTTGCAACTTGGCTCTGATCAGATAGTGAGGTTCGCATTTATTCAGTAAGACTAATTAACAAAAGTTGTGCGTAAACACCACTAGCGGGTAAAGATTAAAGGCCAGTTTCCCAGGCCTAAAGCAAACACCATTTGCAGGTATTAAGCTTCTGCCAAACCCCGAGTAGGAGGCAGTAAAGTACCCGTGGCAGCATAAAACTTAGTCTTAAGCCCACATAACTAACAGATGAGTAAAATAAACTTCCCACATTCCTTTGTACTTGCACCCTAATCTTTCTGGCTCCTGCACCCTGGCTGCCTTCAGCCAAGCAATCTGAAGCTATACAAACTCAGGCCTTTAAGACAGCTTTTGACTATTACTCTATTTTTAATATTTTTCCCACCAGCCTGATTGAACCCCAACACCCATCTCTGCTAAAAATAGGAAAATTAGCCAGACATGGTGGCGCACACCTGGAGGCTGAGGCAGGAGAGAATCACTTGAATCCCAGAGGTGGAGGGTGCAGTGAGCTGATACCATGCTGCTGCACTCCAACCTGGGCAAAAGAGCGAGACTATTTAAAAAAAAAAAAACTATAAATAGAATCCATACATTTCTGAGTCCTGAAAACTTACTAGTAAATTTTTATTATATAGTTTTATTTGAACATCTGGTCTGCCTGCAAACATATAGACCTCCTTTTTTTTTTTTTGAGATGGAGTCTTGCTCTGTCCCAAGGCTGGAGTGCAGTGGCGTGATCTCAGCTCCCGGGATCAAGTGATTCTCCGACCTCAGCCTCCTTAGTAGCTGGGACGCCACCATGCTCAGCTAATTTTTATATTTTTAGTAGAGACGGGCTTTCACCATGTTGGCAAGGATGGTCTCGATCTCTTGACCTCGTGATCCGCCCACCTCGGCTTCCCAAAGTGCCGGGATTACTTAAATAAAATTTTTAAAAATAGCATTTGAAAGCCGGGCATGGTGGCTCACGCCTGTAATCCCAGCACTTTGGGAGGCTGAGGCGGGCGGATCACAAGGTCAGGAGATCGAGACCACGGTGAAACCCCGTCTCTACTAAAAATACAAAAAATGAGCCGGGTGCGGTGGCGGGCGCCTGTAGTCCCAGCTACTCGGGAGGCTGAGGCAGGAGAATGGCGTGAACCCAGGAGGCGGAGCTTGCAGTGAGCCGAGATTGCGCCACTGCACTCCAGCCTGGGCGACAGAGCCAGACTGTCTCAAAAAATAAAAATAATAAATAAATAGCATTTGATTACAACTATAGGTGAGACTATTAGTGTGAGGTCATATTTTTACTTATATTGACAAAACTATTCTATATATTGGATATTGACTTATATTGACAAAATAACCATAACAATATTCTGACTTAAGAATAATATTCCTTTTCTGCTGTATATTTGCAAGCTTTTGATCAAATATTATGGGAGCTCAATAGAAATCAACAAGATGAATCTTTACCACAAGAATTACTGATGCATATACTTATTTTTCTTAAAATCCATTAGCTTTTTATGACAGATGGGTACTTTATTTTCAGTGTGTTGTTTATTACTGAGACGTGGCTGTCCTGCCCGAAAACTGCTATTCTCAGCTGTATCCACATTGACTAATATTGAGTGGAAGTGAAGGGGATAAAAGCAAATGTGTTTTCTCTGTATCTTTTTTCATCCATTGGCTGAAAAACAGGATGATGCAGAATATGGAAGAAAATATAATCCCTGAAAGATCTTGAAGAAGCTCTCTTAATCAGACAAAAAACCCCATAGGGAATTTTTTTTTTTTTTTCATTATTGCAAGCTGCTTCTATGAGTTTAAATTTTTTTTACATTTTACATAGAAAGAAACCTAAGCTTTTGGCCAGGCATGGTAGCTTAAGCCTGTAATTCAGCACTTTGAGAGGCCGAGGCAGGTGGATCACCTGAGGTCAGGAGTTGGAGATCAGCCTTACCAACATGGAGAAACCCCATGTCTACTAAAAATACAAAATTACCTGGGCGTGGTGGTGCGTGCCTGTAATCCCAGCTACTCGGGAGGCTGAGGCAGGAGAATTGCTTGAAACCGGGAGGCTGAGACATGAGAATCACTTGAACCTGCGAGGTGGAGGTTGCTGTGAGCCGAGACCATGCCACTGCACTCCAACTTGGGCGACAGAACGAGACTCCATCTCAAACAAAAAAAACACAAATGAAAGGGAAGGAAGTGAATTACTGACAATAGCTAAAGAATGGAATCAACCTGAGTGTCCATCAATAGGTGAATGGAGAAAGAAAACGTGGTATATGTATACAATAAAATGCTATTCAGCCCTTAAAAATAATAAAGTCTTGTTATTTGCAACAATGTGAATCTGAAAGGTATTATGCTAAGTAAAATAACCCAGCACAGGAAAAAAAAAATAATAATCTTTTTTTTTTTTTTTGAGATGGAATTTCACTCCTGTCGCCCAGGCTGGAGTGCAGTGGCATCATCTCAGCTCACGCAACCTCCGCCTCCCGGGTTTAAGCAATTCTCCTGCCTCAGCCTCCCTAGACCTGGGATTACAGGCACACGCCACCATGCCCAGCTAATTTTAATGTTTTTAGTAGAGATGGCATTTCACCATGTTGGCCAGGGTGGTCTCGAACTCCTGACCTCAAGTGATCCACCCACCTCAGCACCTCAAAGTGCTAGGATTACAGGCGTGAGCCACCACACCCAGCCAGAAGCCTAGGTTTCTTATTAGAAGATAGACTGTGATACTGAAAGCAAATACAATGGGTAGACATTTTAAATTCCCCAGCCTACACTGAGGATGTAGATATAAACTTACTCTCATTCTGAGATGGTATGGGCAGATAGATAAACACACACATAGGCCAGGCACAGTGGCTCATGCCTGTAATCCCAGCACTTTGGGAGGCCGAGGCGGGTGGATCACGAGGTCAGGAGATAGAGACCATCCTGGCTAACACAGTGAAACCCCGTCGCTACTAAAAATACTAAAAAATTAGCCAAGCGTTGTGGCGGGAGCCTGTAGTCCCAGCTACTCAGGGGGCTGAGGCAGGAAAATGGTGTGAACCTGGGAGGTGGAGCTTGTAGTGAGCCAAGATCTCGCCACTGCACTCCAGCCTGGGCGACAGAGCGAGACTCCGTCTCAAAATAAAATAAAATAATAAAAACACATACATAATTATATGAGTTTGCCTATGTAGTTATTTATGTATACAAAAGATATTAATCAACAAACATTTTAAATTTCCCAGCCTACACTGAGGATGTAGATATAAACTTACTCTCACCTATATGGATTCATACCACCTCAGAATGGAATACAGCCATACAATGTTATGTTTAAACATCAACAAAGCTTCACTTATAGCAGCACTCAACTAGACAAAGTGCCACACAGTTCCTTAAACCCATACTCTTCTCACAACACAAATGCTTTTGGTCCAAAATAAAAACTACCAATCACTATCCTAAACATGGCATTCCCTGCTGGTCCTTAAAAACTTCACAGAGGCTGAAGAAGGTAGCTCATGTCTGAGTAAGTCTGCATTTAGAAAACGTGCACATGCATTAATGCGACGTTTATGGAGCATGTACTATGTGGTCAGAAGCACGCTACAGAGCACTGTGCTGGAAAGATGACATAATGTGAATTTATCCTCATAACACCCTGGGAGGTGGGTACTAACTGTCTCATAATTCCCTGGATTTACAGGAAAAGCCCAGCATTTACATTTCTTCTTGTTCTCACTGATTTTCTTTTTTTTTTTTTAAATGCACGGAACAGGCCAGGCATGGTGGCTCATGCCTGTAATTCCAGCACTTTGGGAGGCCAAGGCAGATGGATCACCTGAGGTCAGGAGTTCAGGCAAATCAGGGGACCTGTAAAAGGCAACTGAGCAGGGATCCATGGGAAAGACATCCTCAGAGGCACAAGATTCTCCCATTACCTTTCAGTTTTGCTGATGCTTCAGTTAAAGTCTCCTGGGAAATGTCTGCAGTAGGTTCTTCCTCTGTAGTTCTTCTTACCTTGCCTGCAAAACAAACTATCTTTAGTGTCTGCATGTTTTTCCACTTCCTGTCCCCACCTGAGGAATGGAAAGCAAGGGCACAGTCCTTGCTCATGTTTTGGAGTGAAAGGAACACTGAAGGTCATGTGAGCTTTGCTGAGGCTTCTCCTGGCCTCATGTCAGATACAGCTCCTAACTCCAAGCAGCCCACCATAGCGTCCTCCTTTTTTTTTGTGATGGAGTTTCGCACTTGTTGCCCAGGCAGGAGTGCAATGGCACAATCTCAGCTCACTGCAACCTCCACCTCCCAGGTTCAAGTGATTGTTCTGCCTCAGTCTCTTGAGTAACAGAGATTACAGTCATGCGCCACTAAGGGAGGAGACCACCCCTCATATTGTCTTATGCCCAATTTCTGCCTCCGAAGAAAGAAGAAGTAAAAACTAAAAGGCAGAAATGAAATCCACAGGCAGACAGCCCGGCACCACACCCTGGGCCTGGTAGTTAAAGATCAACCCATGCCCTAATCGGTTATGTTATCTATAGATTACAGACATTGTATAGAAAAGCACTGTGAAAATCTCTGTCCTGTTCTGTTCTGTACTAATTACTGGTGCATGCAGCCCTGTCACATACCCCCTGCTTGCTCAATCGATAATGACCCTCTCACGCAGACTCCCTTAGAGGTGTAAGCTCTTAAGAGGGACAGGAATTGCTCACTTGGGGAGCTCGGTTTTTGAGACGTGAGTCTTACCAATGCTTCTGGCCGAATAAAGCCTTTCCTTCTTTAACTCGGTGTCTGAGGGTTTTGTCTGTGGCTTGTCCTACTACATTTCTTGGTTCCCTGACCGGGAAGCGAGGTGATTAACGGGCAGTTGAGGCAGCCCTTTAGGCGGCTTCGGCCTGCCCTGTGGAGCATTCCTGCGGGGGACTCTGGCCAGCTTGAGTGACGCAGATCCTGACAGCACTCTAAGGTAGGCAATTTCCCCAATGGAACACCTTGCCAGAGCAGGATGGCAGGCCCTTGCAGAGGATCAACACAGTGGCTGAACACCAGGAGGGAACTGGCACTTGAAATCTGGACATCTGAAACTTGGGAAGACTAGTCTTTGGAACTTGCCCACTCCATTTGAGTGGAAGTGTGGCCTGATCACCCACGGCGTGCCTGTACTGGCACTTTGGTTTTTGTTTTTGACTTGACTTGGATTGCTTGATACTTTGGTTTTGGTTTTGACCTTGCTTGGATTTCTGGATACTCTGATTTTGGTATTGATTCTGGTTTGGTGTAAACTGTAAAAGTGTGTGTGTGCCCTTTTTACCCATTCTTTGTTTTGTGGTGTGCGGGTGGTGTGAGCATGGTGTTATGTCTCGAAGAAGCATGGGTCAGGCACAAAGTAAGCCCACCCCAGTATGAACTATGTTGAAAATTTTCAAGAAAGAATTTAAGGGAGATTACGGTGTTATTATGACACCAAGAAAACTTAGAACTTTTGTGTGAAATAGACTGGCCAGCATTAGAGGTGGGTTGGCCATAAGAAGGAAGCCTGGACAGATCCCTTGTTTCAAAGGTATGGCACAAGGTAACCTGTAAGCCAGGGCACCCAGATCAGTTCCTGTACATAGACACTTGGTTACAGCAGGTTTTAGACCCTCACCCCATAGTGGTGGAGAGAACTGCAGCATAAGCGGCTGGCACAGGCAAGGAAAGACCAGCAGAGAGAGAAAGAGGAAGAGACAGAGAAACAAAGAGACAGAGAGACAAAGAGGGAGTCAAAGAAAGAGAGAAGGAGAGACAGAAGTAAAGGAAAGTCAAAGAGAAAAAGACAGAAAATCAAAGAGAGAAAGAAAGAACTATACAAGTAGTTAAGAAACAAAACAAAAAGGCTGGGCATGGTGGCTCATGCCTGTAATCCCAGCACTTTGGGAGACTGAGGCAGGCAGATCACAAGGTCAGGAGTTCGAGACCAGCCTGATCAACATGGTGAACCCATCTCTACTAAAAATACAAAAATTAGCCAGGCGTGGTGGCACACGCCTGTAATCCCAGCTACTCGGGAGGCGGAGGCAGGAGAATTGCATGAACCCGGGAGTTGGGAGGTGGAGGTTGCAGTGAGCCAAGATCACGCCACTGCATTCCAGCCTGGGAGACAGAGCAAGACTCCATCTCAAAAAAAAAAAAAAGAAAGAAAAAAAAAAACAGTGTACCCTATTCCTTTAAAAGCCAGGGTAAATTTAAAACTTATAATTGATAATTGAAGGTATTCTCCATAACCCTATAACACTCCAATACCACTTTGTTGTCAGTGTAAACAAGGGCGTATTCCAAAAGCACTGAGGCCACTAAAAACCTGTAGCCTTCCTATCAAAAATCCTTAACCCAGTAACCCCCAGATAGCCCAGATGCATTCAATCTGTAGCAGCAACTGCTTTGCTAACAGAAGAAAGTAAAAAAATAACTTTTAGAGAAAACA